TTGTTGTAACAAAATTTTATTCAAAACTAAGGTCTTATTTAATTCTGAATCGTAGGCCATTTTTGTGAAAAAGATTTCCAATTATATTGTTAAAGTTTTCCATTTACATGTGTATGTTGTATCTCATTATAGCATAAATTCTGGCCCAGGGGGGTTTAAACGCCTACTTAGTTTATCAGTACAACAATTTTGTTATGCAACGCTTTCAAGCTACTAAAATACGATATTGCGAGCGCTGTAGTAAAAACAAATGGTAAAACAATTCCATTTGTTGTTGAAGCAGATGCATCCAAAATTTTTTAACTGCAACATTTAACCAATATATACAGCCAGTGGCCTTTTTCTCAAAATCTTTGAACAAACACAAAATAAACCAATTAGCTATTGAAATAAAAGCATTCGCTATTGTAAAAGCTCTTTGAAAGTGCAATCACTATTTGACAGGACGCCACTTTAATTTAGTGACCAAACATCAGGCCTTTTCATATATATTCAATCAGAACCATAATGAAAAATTTAAAAGCAAGAAAATAACGCAATGGAGTATTTAACTTGATTCCTACAGCTATGACATACAGTATTAGCTAGGTAAGTATAGTAAAGCTTCTAATAACTTAACACCTTTCAGTTGTTTTGCTTTACTGATTCAAATGTGTTTAAATATGAAAGTATAAAATCATTTTATTCTTGCATAAGCAATAATAAAGTAAAGTTAACAGAGCTTTATAATGCTTTCTGTTACCCAGGTGTTACAAGAATGAAACATATGTCCGCAGTCGGAATCTACCATACTCTATACAAGAAATAAAAACTGTTGTGAATTATCTGTTGTGCACTGAAATCTAAATTCTACAAACCACCTACTGCTGCTCACCTTATAAAAGCAACCCAACCGTTCGTACGTCTTAATAAAGACTTTAAAGGCACTTCCAAAATCAACTAAAAAATGTATTTTTTTTAGTATTAAACTGTGTAAATAATTTATCCTTTTTTTGTGATATGCTTGCTTTTTTTCGTTTTGTCAGAGGCAACTGTATAATATCAAAAGAAGTACATACTTTCATGTATACCCGAAGAGTTTCCACTAACAGAATGATGCCTTATAAACCCAGAGAAAATGGAAAAGTAGAGTGCTTTAATAGACTAATTTGGAAATCAATAACATGAGCTCTCAAATTGAAAAAACTATTAGTTGAAAGCTGGGAAACCGTGTTACAGAATGCATTACATTCGATTCGCTGTTTACATTGTACTGCAATAAATGTAATACCACGCGAAAGATTCTTTTTTTTCCATTGAGATCTACAAACGGAAAATATACCCCAACTTGGTTGTTTGAGTGTTTAAAAAAAAGAGTCTTTGAAAAAAAACATACTCGATTAAGTAAATGTAATCCGCTGGTAGAAGAAGATCTAGTAAAAACAGAACTGCATTATGCTCACAACAGTATGTTCACATATTTCCGAACTGACAAGAATCTACTGAAAAGAATCTACAACTTATCTTTAATAAACAAAAAAATAAAAACAGGTTTTTCTATTTCATTTTCCCATTTAACTAGCTCTTGTAAAGTAATTGCTACAAAGGTCAGCTTAGGTATTTTTATTGGTCAAAATCGCATGTCGCCAAGTAAATCATAATTCCTTTGTTTAAAATAATGGTTGCGGTCTTATGCTTTATTACTGGATAACAAAGAGATTAAAATACTTTCATGATTTGAATAATAACATCATAACTAGATGTAGGTTGATTATAAGATTTCTCAAATAAATAAAATTGTGATAGGAAGCATCTTAAAGTTTGTCTTTTATTTGTTAGAAAAAAGTTTTAAGTAAAATTATCAACAGAATCTGAGTTAACTCATGACAGTAGTGAGCCATCTGACATGCATAAGAAACTACATTAAATTTATTTAAGATTAAGTGGAAGCACACCAATTTTAACCGCTTTACATATTTTTGTTTTTGATTTGCTGACATAATTTTTTAGTGTTCTTCTGACATATTTTTTTAGTATTCTACTCTATGTTATTAACATTAGGACAAAACTTTCCGCAGAATCAAAAAATCCATTACTACATGATGTTGGTCCATTAATTTTACCCTCAGGGTTATATATATATATATATATATATATATATATATATATATATATATATATATATATATATATATATATATATATATATATATATATATATATATATATATATATATTTATATATATATATATATATATATATATATATATATATATATATATATATATATATATATATATATATATATATATATATATATATATATATATATATATATATATGTATGTATACAAGCAAGATTAGAGAAAACAATATTTATAAAATAGTATTTTTGCAGGAATATATAGAAAAAATAGCTATTTAAAATTGGGATCATGTTTAGGATAGCAATGTCAATTTATACAGTTTTACACTGTTTAAACATTAAACAGACTGAAAACTACTAATTAATTAACATTAAAAAGCTTAAAAGTTTTATACATTATTATATATAAAATTATTAGAAAAATTTTTTTTTTGAGTGCAAAATTGTTACGTAATAATTGAAATGAGGGGCGGGAGGAGGGAGATCAATAAAGTGTTACAATGCGATACGAAGTGAAGGAAGGGTGAAGGGGGGAGGTGTTCAAAAAACTTCAACTGTTGTGTGATGTAATTTATGGACGACCCCTCATGTTGGAAATGAAACTATATTTTATGAGAAAAAGAAACTGTGATTAACTTGGCAGCATGTTTTGCAACAATCAAACAACAATTCTGATTTTTACATTAAGGACTGAATCAATTATGGACAATACCGGCAAGCATTTATCTGGTGCTTTTTGCAAGGTAATATTTGTTGTGGCAAAGGAAAAGCTAATGAGCAACTATGTTGTCTAACTGATGCGTCCCTCAAAACTGTAAAATATCAGATTGTATGTTACATTCTAAAGTACTCACTTCCTAGTCATTTATATCTTAAAGCGGACCATGTGCATAACTAAATTGAAAAGCTCACAAGGATAGCTATTTTTATAGTTCATTCGG